GCCACGGGGAAGATCCAAAATCTCTTTCTTGCGAATTGCGAAAGGAAGCAGCTGTCAAAAGGAAGAGAATAATCGAGCAAAATCCGATTGTCATCAGTAAAAGGAAAAAAAATTCCAACATAAAAAAGAGCAATAAATCTTAAAGAAGCAAAAAAAATACCGAACAATGCCTCTTTTTTATAAAAAAAAATTGCATAAAACCCAAAATATTGAACTTAGCAAAAAAAAAGAGAAGAGAGCCATGAAAAATTCCAAATTAAAAGAACATAAGAGCAAGAAGAAACAATCAACAAAAGCAAAAAATGCCGCAACAATTAAAAAAGAAAAAGAGGGAAGAAAAGAGAAATAGCATATAACAAAAATACACAGTTGGCTGAAATCGCAGAAGAAACCCAAATAAAATCCCCAATCAAAACAGGAGAAAATGAGCAGAAGCAAGTAAAAGAAGCTTGCGCCGAAAACAGTCAAAGGACCAAGGTCATGTAAGAACTGAGAGAAACAAAGAAGCCAAAAATAGAGGCCAAACTTTTAGCTGAGAATAAAATAGAAGAGACGGCACAAGAAAAAGCACAGAAGAAACAAATGAGGCTTAGGGCTTCATTAAAAGCCAAACGACAAAAAAAGCAAGGAGGCAAAGGCGAATACGCAAAGTCACAACACATGAGATGAAAAAGACAAAAACGCCCCCACACAAAAGAGGAAGAACAAAAAAGAGAGCAAGGGTAAAAACGAGAAAAAAAAACATGTACTGTATAATGAATAGTGAAGTGGGTGTAGGTGAACAATAATAATCTGGGTGTCCTTTAGTATATTTATAATAATGTCGTTTGAATATCAAGTGCAGAGATTGGTGCCTGGTACCCATATTGCTAGTCTCAGGTGTCTCTAGCGTTTCTCTTCAAAAAGGTCACTGTGAGCGTTTCCCAGTTCGCTTTAAGCTAGTGGTCTGTGGATATGGCGGAAAAGCTTATGCATGTCGTTCAGTACAGTGGTTATGGAGGAGCTTCTGAATTAAAGGTTATTATTCGTTTGTCCTTCACATTTTCTTTATGAGCCAAAATTTTGGGTGTCAACATTTTTTTCTCTGTTCCTTTTTCTCTATAAATCAACTGTTGGTGATAGGTGAAATAAAGATGGGACGGGCACGTTCTTTTGTCAAAAAAAAAACTCAAAAAAGATAATTTGAGTTTAACAATATTTAAGTTTACGTTCTTTTAAATTTTAATTTTATTCAATTTTATTTAATTTTATTCAAATTACAACTTCAACTCAAGTTATAACTCAAATTTAACTCAAAAATTACACTATAAAAGAACAACCCCGTAATCTAAACTGATATGGAGAGTAGCCACACAATATAGGTTTGTTCAATATGCCAAGATAAATATATTTTTTAATTCACTTGTTTATACTATTATAAAACAAAATTAAATCTTGAGAAGTGAGATAAGATGCACCATAAACGTCGGTTTATCATACTGTCTAATTTCTTTAATGTAGTATCGTTATAATCAATCAATATTTTATACACTTTTTGTACTCTGTCAATTGCTTTACACAATAATTGTTAAGAATTATACGCTTTAAGAGCAACAAAATCAAAGAAATAAAAACAAGCACACATAATTTTATAAGGTTCACTGATAACCGAAAATTGTCCTCAAAACTATTAAGTATAATTGCATGCTGACTAGGGTACAATGATAATAATTGGCTTTATTTTTATTTAATTTTTTCAGCTAACTAACTAACCATTAATATTTAATTATACTATGTGCTCGGCAAAGCATGTTGAAGTTCCAATTCCTGTTCCAAACAAAGACGAAGTATTGCTGAAAGTCGAAGCAACTAGTATAAATCCATTTGATTGGAAAGTTCAGAAAGGCATGCTTCGGCCATTTTTGCCTCCCTAGTTTCTTCACATACCTTGTAAGTTAATTTTCTACGTTGTTAGTGTTTGATGGAAGTTCTTGATATGGAGACACCATATTACTTGAGGGTACATTTTCACATGTATTATTATTATTATTATTATTATTATTATTATTCATTTCCAGAATAATAAATTATTCAATAAATGAAATAATGGTGTCATTGTCTAGGCCAGCTATGCAAATTGAAACAAACTCTCAATGTCAAAGAATAAAAATAAAACCACACCAACAGAGATGATATGTTACCTTTGTAAAGTAGTAAAAGTTATGGAAAAAAACCTTGCATTAACCTTAGAAAATACTAATATACCACCCTAGGTAATTGATTTTGTGATTTTACTGTGTAAGATAAGAGAATGGACTTGTGGGTGAAGATTTTCCTTCTTGGAACAGGTGGTAATGTGGCAGGAGAGGTTGTAGAGGTTGGATCAAGTGTCAAAGACTTCAAAGCTGGTGACAAAGTTGTGACTCTTCTTTATGCTCGTGTAAGTTTATCCTGTCGATTAATTTGGTTTCTGATCCATTTTTTCTTTTTCGCTGATAGCTTTCTTGTTCATTTTGCTTGTAAATTAGCGAAAAAACCCCTTGTTTTCTCCTTCACTTTTCTAAACACTACTGTAGCCTTTCTGGAGCTGCTTTTCCCTTGGTAATATGGTTGTAGTACTAAACACTTTGGTCTTGTATATATAGTTTTGCTGAAATTAAATAGATAACATATGGTTGCAGGCATAATTAACCTAGAGTTAACTTCATACCTAACTGCACTACAAGGTGTATAGTTCAAATCCTCAAAAAAGAAAAGGAAAAAAAAAGTATTGACCAAATAACATAATTGTGGTTTATCGAAAGAAATTAAAGTCATTTTTTTTATTTCCTTAAACTATTGACAATCATGATATTATATTTATGTTGCTGAACCATATATATGAAAGGCAGAGTGGCGGTGGACTTGCTCAATTTGTTACGTCCAAGGAAAATATGACTGTGATAAGACCACCGGAAGTTTCAGCAGCCGATGCTGCAAGTTTGCCTGTAGCCGCTCTAACAGCTCTCCAGGCCCTCACTCAAGCCGCGGGGTTGAAGCTCGACGGAAGCAGTCCTAACATTTTGGTTACTGCAGCCTCAGGTGGTGTTGGCCACTATGCAATTCAGCTTGCAAAGCTCGGAAACGCGCACGTGACAGCCACGTGTGGAGCACGTAACCTCGAACTCGTAAAGAGCTTAGGGGTGGACGAGGTTGTCGACTACAAGACTCTAGACGGGGCGGCTCTGAAGAGCCCGTCTGGTAGGAAATACGACGTGGTGATCCACTGCGCAACAGGTGTTCCTTGGTCGACTTTTGAGCCTAATTTGAGCTCCAATGGAAAGGTGATAGACATTACACCCGGTCTCAGTGCCTTTGCCTCTTTTGCTTTGCAAAAGCTGACATTTTCGAAGAAGCAGTTGGTGCCATTGATCTTGAGCCCCAAGCGCCAGAACTTGGAATATCTTGTTAAGTTGGTCAGAGAAGGAAAGCTTAAGACGGTGATCGACTCAAAGCATCCACTGAGAAAGGCTGAGGATGCTTGGGCCAAGAGTATTGACGGCCATGCTACCGGGAAGATCATTGTTGAGCCTTAGCTAAATGGTGAACATTATCTTTGCAAACTATGTACTTGAAATGAATTAGCTGGGCAATGACCATGGTTGTACTTGTATTGACCGGTATACAAGTGTACCATTAATAAGGCTTAAGGTGTTCTAAAAGCGTGTAATTTGTTGCTGTTATATATATCGGCATGAAGAATGGCCTTATACTGGAGTACAATTATTCAAAGAGTGATTTACAATGCTTTATGAAAATTGGCTGGCCAGAGTTTGAACTCTGCTTAATTACAAAAACAATTGAGTCCAGGGGAAACGATATACAATTAAAAAACTACAGCTTCCAGGGAAAATGGAAGAATAATAACAATAATAATACAGACTTTTCAAAGTAATCTTTATTGCAGGAACCCTTTTTCCATAAATATATGGACTTTTCAATTTGTTTTTGAAAGATGTGTCGTTCTTTTTAAAAGAAAAGAGATTCTTTAATATGTTTATTAAATCAGTAGATTAATTTTTTTAACGGTTAAATTTACATATTTTTTAATTTTTATGTAATTTTATATAAATTTAATACATAAAAAACTTAGCCTATTAATTTGTGTAAATCATTGATTTAATTACTAACTTTGATAAACTATTGACTTCTCGTAAAAATCATTGACTGGATGATGATTATTTAGGCCTCGTTCACTTCGCGGATTTGAGTTGAGATGTGATATTTTTTGAGAGCTTTTCACTGTAGCAGAAAAAGTTAGATGTGACATTTTCTTAGAGCTTTTTACTGTCCTAAAACTGAAAACTTGAATCGGTGAAATGAACGAGGCCTTAGTATTACTCTTTTGGCGTTACCTTTACTATTGTTATTATTTTTCATTGGCTTTTAAAAAAAAAAAAATTAAGGAGTCGTTTGGTTCATGGATTATAATCATGTGATTAGAATTATTTTCAATTTACGTGTATTTTTTGTGAGAAGAAAATACTATAGCGAATCATGAATCATGATTTAAATCATAGTTTAAATCCTCCAACCAAACATCTCTTAAAACTTATGTTGTGGTTCCTTTTAGAGAGAGTTGTAAGTTTAGACATGATTAAATAGGCCGATAAGAGACTCATTACTATTAGTTTAGGTTTGACATGATTTTAAATTTTTTAGGTTTAAGATTGAGTTAGGCTAACATCTCTTTTTTGAGTTAAAGGTAGGTTTAACTCGATCCAAACATCATATTTTTAAATTTTTTTTAAAAATATCTTATAAAATTTCAGTTCAAATCGATCTTAAACATTTTATACTTAAAATTAAACTGGGCTGATCCTCTTTTTTTTTAGAGCTGACTCGGTCCTAAATTTCTCTTCAAACTGCCCTGAGCCGCTTAAATTTACACCTCGACTTTCAAATCTCTCTTTCTCAAAAGTAAACCACACGTAAGAGGATATGGACAGGTGGAAGGAAATAGAGGGGTTTTTTTTTTTTTTTTTTGCACGGGAAATAGAGGTGCATCAAATCAGTGTCGTTTGATGTATATTTTGATATTTGAGAATCAAATTTTTGAAATTGACAACGATCCACGTAATGCTCCAATATCAATAGGCTTATCTTCTCTGGAGCCTGGCCACTCTGTGAACCTTTTCCCAATTCGCTGTTATCTTGTGGTCTGTGGATATGGCGGAAAAGCTTATGCATGCCGTTCAGTACAGTGGTTATGGAGGAGGAGCTTCTGACTTGAAGGTTAATATTCATTTAGCCTCCACATTTTCTTCAATATCCAGTCACTTGTTTGTGAGAATTTTATTTTTTTTTAACATTTTTCTCTGATCCTTGGTACTCTATCAATCAAATGTTGGTAATAAGTGACGCGAAGATGGGAAATGTAATCTAGACTCATCGGGAGAGTAGGAACACAATATGTTTCTTTAATATTCCAAGATAATTTTTTTTTTTGTTTTTGTTTTTTTTTTGGGTTTGAAATTGACTCTTGTTATTTACTATTATTAAAACAAAATTAAATTTAGAGATGTGAGATGAGATGCACCAATACACGGTTCATTTTACTGTCTAATTTCTTCAATGTAGTGCTGTTAATTAATCAATATTTTCTACCCTTTTGTACTTCGTCAATTGCTTCACACAGTAATTGTTAAAGAATTAGACGCTCTAAGAGCAACAAAATCGAAGAAAAACACAAACACAAGCACGCTTGAATTTATAGTGGTTTACTCCTAATAGAGAACTTTTGCAAATTTTTACTAGGATTAAAAAAAAAAAAAAACACATTTCACGTGTTTCGACTTTTTTCTCTACTCCGAACACAAGTTATAATCAGAACACTCTCTGCATGCTGATTCTGCGTCATGACAATAATTAAGCTCTGCATAGTCAAATACATGAATAATAATTGGCTTTATTTTTATTTAATATTTTTAGTTAACTAAGTGATTAATAATCATACTCTGTGCTCGGTAAAGCATGTTGAAGTTCCAATTCCTGTTCCAAACAAAGACGAAGTATTGCTGAAAGTTGAAGCAACTAGTATGAATCCATTTGATTGGAAAGTTCAGAAAGGCATGCTTCGGCCACTTTTGCCTCGCAAGTTTCCTCATATACCTTGTAAGTTAATTTTCTACGTTGTTAATATTTGATGGAAATCTCTTGATATTGAGACACCATATTACTTGAGGTTACATTTTCACGCTTAGACCTCTCAAAGTAGGGGTTTTATTTATTTATTTATTTTTATTTCCAGAATAATCAATTATTCAATCAATCAAACAATGGTGCCATTGTCTAGGCCAGCTATGCAACTTGAACAAACTCTCAATGTTAAAGAATAAAAATAAAACCACATCAACAGAGATGATATGTTACCTTTGTGAAGTAGTAAAAGTTATGGAAAAAAGCCTTGCATTAACCTTAGAAAATACTAATATACCACAGTCACCCTAGGTGATTGATTTTGTGATAATATTGTGTAAGATAAAAGAATGGACTTGTGGGTGAAGATTTTCCTTCTTGGAACAGGTGGTGATGTGGCAGGAGAGGTTGTAGAGGTTGGATCAAGTGTTAAAGACTTCAAAGCTGGTGACAAAGTTGTGACTCTTCTTTACCCTCGTGTAAGTTTATCCTGTCGATTAATTTGCTTTCTTATCCACTTTTTCTTTTCGCTGATAGCTTTCTTGTTCATTTTGCTTGTAAATTAGTGAAAAGCCCCTTGTTTTCTCCTTCACTTTCCAACACTACTGTGGCCTTTCTGGAGCTGCTTTTCCCTTGGTAATATAATTGTAGTTCTAAAGTTGGCTGTAAAGATATTTGGGTCCTGTATACTTAGTTCCGTCAAAATGACCAGATAATGTGTAGTTGTAGGTATAGTCTAGCGTAAATTTCACACCCCATAAGTTAAAAATCAAAAAAGGAAAAAAAAAAAAATTGAGCCGATTACATATTTGGGGTCTATTGGAAGAAATTCAGTCATTTTTTATTCTTTTTCTATGATAAATTATTGATAACATGATATTAAATGTATGTTCCTGAACCATATATATGAAAGGCAGAGTGGAGGTGGACTTGCTCAATTTGTTACGTCCAAGGAAAATATGACTGTGATAAGGCCACTGGAAGTTTCAGCAGCCGATGCTGCAAGTTTGCCTGTAGCCGCTCTAACAGCTCTCCAGGCCCTCACTCAAGCCGCGGGGTTGAAGCTCGATGGAAGCAGCAGCCATCAAATGAACATTTTGGTCACTGCAGCCTCAGGTGGTGTTGGTCACTATGCAGTTCAGCTAACAAAGCTCGGGAACGCGCACGTGACAGCCACGTGTGGAGCACGTAACCTCGAACTCGTCAAGAGCTTAGGCGCGGACGAGGTTGTCGACTACAAGACTCCAGAAGGGGCGGCTCTAAAGAGCCCGTCTGGTAGGAAATATGACGCAGTGATCCACTGCGCAACAGGCATTCCTTGGTCGACTTTTGAGCCTAATTTGAGCTCAAATGGAAAGGTGATAGACATTTCACCTAGTTTCAGTGCCTTTACCACTTTTGCTTTGCAAAAGCTTACATTTTCGAAGAAGCAGCTGGTGCCATTGTTCTTGAGCCCCAAACGTGAAAACTTGGATTATCTTGTTAAGTTGGCCAGAGATGGAAAGCTCAAGACAGTGATCGACTCAAAGCATCCACTGAGAAAGGCTGAAGATGCTTGGGCCAAGAGTATTGACGGCCATGCTACCGGGAAGATCATTGTTGAGCCTTAGCTAAATGGTGAACATTATATCTTAAAATTTGCAAACTATGTACTTGAAATGAATTAGCTTGTATTGACTGTATACAAGTGTACCATAAATAAGGCTTAAGGTGTTTTAAAAGCGTGTGATTTTGTGCTGTTATTATTATATAGTGTGCATAATTGTCTTATACTAGAGTACAGTTATTCCAAGAGTGATTTACACTGTTTTATTATTTTCTTTTGAATAAGTGTCTGTCTTTTTAAAAGGACCTCAAGTACTTTTGTAAATCATTGATTTACTTACTACCTTTGATGAATTATTGACTTCTGTCTTCTGGTATAAATCATTGACTTGATTTATTTTGATATTTGATTTACTCACAGAATGATAAAAAATATTATTTATTTTACTACACTAAAAAATAAACAACTGTAATTTAATTAATAAAGAGAAAATAAAATATCCTAATGACATCTAATTATTTAAGATGTCATAAATAATAGGCTTATGTCATAAAATCATGACAAATCTTGAATTTTTCTCAAACTTCTACTTATAGTTGTGGCTTTTTCTTATTTAAGAGTACTTATCCATATAAACCCCAGGAAAATTATATATATATATATATATATATATATATAAAAGAATCTTAAGATATACCATTAACGAAGGTATCGGTATTTTAAATTCAAATTTGATATCTCAAAATCGTATTCCTCAAATCCTCTCGAATCGTCATACATCCCAAAATTTGAATTGATTTGAAATTATTGAGTAATATTCTGTCGCATTGAATTACCCTGATAATACTACATAAAAAGCATTTTTTATAAGGAAAAATACTTTTTTGCTAAGGTGCTTATTCTCTAATTTTCTCGAACCTTTTTACAACATGGGCTCAAACATTGGATTGGGCCTTTTACAATCAAGGCCCTATACATTGATCGAAGTGAAACTCTTGCTGGCTTTGATGTCATTTGACCGGACCGGCATATGCGAACGGGATAGCTTAAATTGTCAAATTGTCGAAAAAGGACATAATAGTCTTTGCATTGACCGGGCAAGAATAAGGGAATCCGATATGACATTTACGTCCCCAACCAACAATGTTTATTCGTCTCCTAAAAACTCACCCCAGTCCAATCTATTCAGGGCAGTTTCGTCAATGAACCAAAATACCGTGTCCTGTGGCTCAGGGCATACAAGTAATATCACAAAAACAATATTATATCAACCGGGGGACCACTCTTCCCCTTCCCCACCACAGCCAAGCATTTTTTTTCCTTTAATTATTTAATTAAATATAAAATGATAAAATCATTAATCAATATTTAAATTTCTTAATTTAATTGATTTTGCTTTTTTTATTATTTCGTTGGTTTCTTCTCCTTTGCTTCTTCAGCGGAATCCCCTCACCCCTTCTCCTCCCTTGGCTTCATTAGTAATCCAAATCTCTCTCTCTCTCTCTCTAAAACTTTCTACAGAATTTCATCTCTCTTGAATTTTCTCTCTCGTTTTCTCCGAGAAAATTTCATATACATTGGTGATCTATTTCTTCTTTATTTTCCCTCTCGGATCCTCCTTGTCAATTTAGCATCATTGGTGAGTAAAGCCTCTCACAATTTAAAGTCTTCTAAGATTTTCCATAATCTTGGTGATTGAAAATTCCAGGTCTGTTTTTTTGGCTTTCTTTTAGCTGTACTTTATTTGCAAATGAAAATGCAGTTTGAATTAACATTTTACTCTGTTCAGTTTGCGTGAAAACGGAGGAAAAGAAACGAAAAAAGATTTTCTTTTTTGGTCTTCTCTTGTTTCTTCTTCTTCAAGGATTTGCCTAATCACGTATTAGCTGAATTCAGCGAGGTTACTATACGAGAAAAGAAAAATTGAAGATTTTTCTGGTTTCTTTTGCGGATAATCAGTTAAAGCCTTTTCCTTTTTCCTCAACTTTAATTGTATGATTTTTTGTTCGCTTTTTTTGATTTAATTCATTTTTTCTAGTTTATAACTTAATTGATATAGCTAGGCCATGCGATTGTTCCTACTATCTTTTTAGCGTGATTGTAGATTTTATTTTTATTTTTTATTTTTTGTCATTCTGCCTCTGACTCTTCCAAATAAAGTATCGACATAAAATTTCCTGATCATACAGATATATGTATATATTAATTATTTATTTATACAAAACTGAAATAAGAAAACATAATGGAAAAAAATTATCGTCTTTGCTCAGCTTACATAAATTTTTTCTAGCCTTCCTTTTCTGGATGCAGATATAGATATATTATTTTGAATTTTTTGGTTTAGTATTCTTTTGTCTTGATGCCAATTGCTAAATGGTTCTTTTTTTTTTTCATTGATTATCTTTTGCAGCTCAAGTGCCCCAGTTTTTCATGAGGGTAGTTATGAAGTAAATAAAAGAAAATTAATTGACAATCAAGCGCGTTGAATTTAATGCTTGGTCTCTGGAGTTCAAGTGGAGAGCTTCAAAATGCTGTTGAATCTCTCCCTGATATTCAGTTGCTCCTATAAAGAAAAGTCGGTTTTCGATGACATCAAATGTTGTAGGCTAGAAGAGTACAGTATCACTAAACCACGCTCACAAGCTAATGGCCAGCACTTCATTGACAACTTAGACACCTCTACTTGGAGGTTTTTTAAGTTCCACTGAGAGATTTTTTATCATAATAAGTTGTGAAATCAATAATGGAAAGGTAGCAATGCCAAGTTCTCTTGAGTAAATTTGTTCAGTGTTTTTGTTCTATTTTGGCCCAATTGTGAGTTTCTTGATGTTATTATTATTTTCATTCTCAGATATAGAATTTTGGAGGAGCTTGGAGATGGCACTTGCGGCACTGTATATAAGGCCATTGACTGTAGAACACATGAGATTGTAAGCTTCTTTTTAAGTTTTATAAAGCAACTTTAGAACTTCTAGTTTATTTTTTCGTTATCTAGATCAATTTTCTTCCGTGGAGGCTTATATCATTCTCAAACACAACCCAGAATTCTTTGATCGACACTTCACTCTTCAGTAATCCTTTATTATTATTATTATTTATTTAACTAGTGGAAATCACATTTATAAAACACATGTTTACGTTCTGACATTATTGGTCTCGTGATCAAAAAGCTATACTAAGATTCTGTAACAAGCCAGGATTACAGTTTTTATAGTTTTCTTCCATTCTGCTCCTCCTCATCTTCTTCATTGCTTCTCCCACAGCATCCTCTAATCCTTTTATTTTTTCACTTAGATCTATATTATGCTTTGACTGCAAAGATGAAAATCAGGACTTGTTTATCAGGAACCCTTCTTAGTGTCGAATCCGTGTCATGGTAGCTTTAGTTGCTGTTATTCCTTCTTAGTCTGATGTTCCTAACTTTCGATTGATTTTGCTTTGCAAATTGTTTTTATGGTCATCAATATCCTTTATAATTTGCTAATTCCAGGTTGCTGTTAAGAAGATGAAGAGAAAGTTCTATTTTTGGGAAGAATATTGGAGATTACGAGAAATTAAGGTATGTGCCGTTGAAATTTTAAGCTGGTATTGCATACCACAAGCTTAAATAAGCCTTCTTGTAATTGATATCTCCTTTGGAGAATTGCATCGATATGTGAATTCCCTATATATATATATATATATGTATGTATTTATAAATATTTAGCCTTCTTCTGTTGATTGCTACAAATAGAAGTGCCTTCTCCAGGTCCTCCGAAAACTGAATCATCCCAACATCATAAAATTGAAAGAGGTTGTCAAGGAAAATGATGAGGTGTTCCTCATATTTGAGCACATGGTAAGGGAAAATTTGCATTTTTACCTCTCGCTCATCTAGGTAATAACAGCCTGTTTCTTGACTTTTGTGCATCTGTAGACTCATGACACAAAAAGATATCAACTTTCTTACCCGGAAAAATGGAAAAATACTAAATGCATAATTTGAATGATTTTGAAGCATTTTTCAGCTTTACTTACTAATTAGAAGATCCTTTTAGATAGAGTATTTTGCTTGATGCAAAATTATCCTTGTATTGCTACTTTAAGGTAACTTGTTTTGCTTACTTGAAAAGTATTTCATCTCAAGCATTTATTCCGAGGTACAAAGTATAGTTCTTTTGTGGGTGTTGTGTTCCCCCATTTTTCTTGATGAGCCACCAGCATATGGGTATTTCATGTATAGTATAAGTATAGTTCATTTATTTTCAGTCAGTATGGATATAACTTTTCGTGCTCCATTTTTTTCTCGTTTGCTTATCTTTTCATGCTACAGTAGAAAACTAGCAAATAAATAATTTTGTAAATTTTTCATATAAGCAAAGTAACATCTGTTCTTATATGAACTTCAGTTAATGAAATAACATTATTTAGCAAGTGATTGATGCGTAGTTTCATATTTTCAGAGTTTTAATCTCTACCAAATGATGAGAGAACGACAAAGGCCCTTTTCTGAAGACGAGATACGGAGCTTTATGTCTCAAGTACTTCATGGACTTGATCATATCCATAAAACTGGATATTTTCATAGAGATCTGAAACCTGGTAAAGAGATATTATAGATACTATCAGCTAATGTATTCATTTTGTCTCCAGCACACCTTTCCCCCCCCCCATTTACTGAAGCAAACTTTATGTTAATAAGTTGATAACGAGACATTCTTTTTCCTTAAAAAGAGAATTTGCTGGTGACAAACGATGTCCTTAAAATTGCTGATTTTGGCCTGGCTAGAGAAGTGTCGTCAATGCCTCCTTACACTGAATATGTTTCCACACGATGGTGAGTCATCGTTTTCTTGAGGGCGCTCAAGTATGTGCTGCGGATGCATCAGTTATATATCATATCAAGTTGGTTATTTTTTCACCTATTATACTCGGCTGTTCCCTAGGTACCGAGCGCCAGAAGTCTTGCTACAGTCCAAGTTTTACACTCCTGCAGTCGGTGAGTGATACCTTTTCTCCTCATTCATTGCAGAGACACCTCGGTCCTTTCATTTATTGGATTATTACTTCTTTCCTAGTTGTAGATTGTTGGGAATTGGGCTTTTCTTATAAAAGTTCTAATCTTTTCTTTGGCGGAGGCACGTGGCAAGTAAAAGTTATTGTTATTCCTGTTGTTGTTATTTTGATTTTGACCCACCTTTCCCCTCTCGACCCATCTATTTCTTATAATTGACTTTCTAAAGTTTCAAATTGTCGACTTTGCATCTATAGCTGCACTCCTCTTTCCTTGCAGAAAAACCTCAATCCTCCCAACGTAGTATATCAAGTTTGCTCTGTATTTATTCTTGGTTTCTTTTCCTACAGACATGTGGGCAGCTGGCGCAATCCTAGCTGAGCTTTTCACTCTGTCTCCTATTTTTCCTGGTGAAAGGTGATTTTTATCATCCTCAGTTTATTACCTTTGGCCTTCGTGTTTCTAAGTTATTATTGTCCTTCCTTCCTGCTAGTGAGATAAAATCTCATTTTCTCTACTGGGTACATGAAAACATTACCATCATGATGGATGATTGTGGTGATTTTATAATAGCTGTTCGTGTACAGTATAATTTCAAATTGTTAGTCTGTTTCTCAATAGGACTGTAGGAGTTAAAAATTCTATCTGAAAAATAAAAGGTCTTTTAATTTAGACTGATGCTATTAAAGAAAAAGAAAATGATGCCACTTAAACAAATCTTTTTGTCACATTTAATAAAACTAGTTTCTCCATGGCAGTGAAATAGATCAGCTGTTAAAGATATGCTGTGTTCTTGGTACACCAGACATGACTGCTTTCCCCGACGGGGTAAATACATCCCGATTATGTGGGATTACAAGTTATGAGAAGGTAAACTATCATATCAGTTGGTATTTTATTTGCGGTTTGTCCATGCGGTTCAGCATCCCGATTATGTGGGATTACAAGTTATGAGAAGGTAAACTATCATATCTGTTGGTATTTTATTTGCGGTTTGTTCATGCGGTTCAAAGTTAATTTCATTCTTTTGGTAGATATTGCCTGCGAACCTGTCTGATATCATTCCCAATGCAAGCCCAGAAGCTATTGATTTAATCAGGGTGGGTTGTGTTTTTGCAGTGCATTCTGCCAATATTTCTTATTAACATTTGTTGTCCACCCTTTTAACCAAAGTGATTGTTTTTACAATTCTTTTTTGATGGTTTACAGCGACTTTGTTCATGGGATCCATCAAGGAGGCCAGGTGCAGAGGAGTCATTACAGCATCCTTTCTTCCATGTAATGTGTTTTCAACTCTGGTTTCTGCTATGTTATGAACTAGCTTAGTTTACTAATGTGTTCTTCACAGGCGGGTTGGATTCCTCGTTTACTCTGTGATCCACTTGAGCTAAAGCTGAGTAATATGGGTAAAGGTTCTTCTTAAATAAGCCTTCTTGTAATTGATATCTCCTTTGGAGAATTTTAGTTTACTAATGTGTTCTTCACAGGCGGGTTGGATTCCTCGTTTACTCGGTGATCCACTTGAGCTAAACTTGAGTAATATGGGTAAAGGTTCTTCTTGCAGCGAAGTTTTGTTGTCCAAAACCAAAATTTATGTAATTCAAGTATTCTATCTCATTTTGTCCATCTGGATGTGATATTTACTCTCTCTCTATACGACCTGCAGTGGCAAAGCCAAATCTTGAGTTGAAATTATCAAACTTTGGTGCTGAACCTGATGACTGCTTTCTTGGCTTGACGTTAGCTGTAAATCCCAGTGTTCCAAACTTGGGTAAGTAGAGCTTCCTTTTCTTTCTTTCTTTCTTTTTTTTTTTTTTTTTTTGAATGATGTCGAAACAAGATAAATGAATGTCATTTTTAAACCATTTATTTATGGGACTTTTTTCTTGCAGATTTGGTTAGAGATGTATCTCAGGGTAGGGACAAGGTGAGGACGGGGCCGGGGTAAATTTTGCTCTGACATACCAATAGCATTAGGTTCTGAATGTAAAATACTCGTTAACTTTATTATGCAGGATGCATTATTTCGCTCTGGTTTAGAAGATCACAGAGAACAATCAGGTATTCATTGGGTCTCTCTCTTAGGAATACTTGTATCGATGTATTTTTACACGGCCTCCAGTTTCTTTGTGCAATTTTCGCTCTTATGCTGAGGCAAATTTTGCAGTTTCTTCAATCTAGTCTGAGATAAAATTTTCATGATGATAGAATGAAGCTTTAAAGCCAGAATATTGCAGTTTTATGCAATTTGCTGACTAATTAGGAGTTGGTATATTAGCCAATGAATGAATGACTGGATTATAGTATTCCGGCCTGAAAAGTTATGAGATCAATAGATTTTTAAGTAATTGTCTTTTTCTTGTTTGTGAGTTGACTGACTTGTATTTATTTTTATGTATTTCAGTTTTTTTGTCGCTGATTTCACCGGATAGAACCGGAATTCGTGCCCCAGTAGAGACATCATTTTCTGTATCTTTCAGGTAGTTTTTCGGCTCACAGTTAATTTTCCCTCTTTTGAATGACATTATATTGTTATTAACGTATTAGTAACTTGTATGCGAACTAACTTTTATCTTTATATGATATATACTTTTTTAAAAAAAAAAAACTTTTTCTTTACATGACACTTTTAACAGTTCAATTCAACACCCATCATCAATCAGAGGATCACAATCAGCTGGGTTCTCTATTCCAGCGTTGCAGCCTAACATCTTAGACGGTCCCTTTTTGGGCATTTCCCCTCCCTTCCCTCGAAGGTCATTGCCTCTGAGTGATCGACTTAAATGATCTAATGGTGATCTAATAACGTGGGGCCGCTATTTGTTTTATTTTATTTCTTTCTTGTACAGCTCGCTCTATTAAGCACCTCTAATCTCTCCTTTATATTGTGGAATGTAAGGTTCGGATTCCGGGAAAATACATATAATGGAAATAGTTTTCGACAGGAACTTTTATAGCAGAAATTCCTAATATCTTAATGAATGAACCTCACGCCCTAAATTTTTATTGTGCTTTTACGAGATGTATATTTGGATGAATATAGGTAACATCCTGGTGTCATTGTTCAGTTACTGTAAAACTTCAAGTTTATGTATATAATTTCTGATCTCTGTAGGCTGTAGCAAACTGTATGAAACTTTTTATATGCTAAACAACTTCCATTTTTAGATAAAACATATTAAACTTTTCCACAAGAACGACATGTCGTTTATTCGACTTAATATAAAACAAACGAGGTGTCGTTTGACGTACACCAGCATTATTGTAGAAGACAAGCTATGTCGTTTTTCAATTTGGACAACAACTCAACAAGCATTGTAAAAGAACAGCAAACGCGAAGTGTAAACCATTTCTAGAGTGGTTTGGTGGATTGAAATGTCACCAACCCACTTGCTAAACATAACATGAACACCATTTTTTTCTTTTTTGAAAAAAACGGCAATTTATATAATACGACAAGATACAATGGTCAATGCCTGACTAGCGCTTACCATATGCCTTGCCCAGGGTAAAAAAAGACCAGTTCTATATTTATGCCCAACTGTACTTTCATGTGGTTTGCCAACTTATATTATAGTGGATCTTTCCAAAGTGTTAATAAATAAATAAATAGGATTAGTCTCTACTTCTCAATTTTAGGGCATCCTCACTTTACCATTTAAATTTTAAAAACTCTTATGTTGTCAAAATCACGTAGGAAAAAAAAATTACGTGTGACTATGTAATTTTATCTATTTTATTTTTAACAGAAATTAAAAACAAAAAAATTATGTGACTGTATTATCTTTTTTTAATATGTTTTAACATAAATTACAAATGATTAAATGAGAACAATTTAAAATTCATGAGATAAAATGAGAATTTTTAAAATTTGATACGCAAACTGAAAATAACTTCAAAATTCAAGTGGTACCAATAACAATAATCTAAATAAATAAATAAATCTCTCGTAGTTGGTATTTTCCTAATGATAATTTATTTAGAAGATGTAAAGTTTTAATCACCACAAATTAAGTAAAAATCCAAGCCATTAACAAAATAGGATCTTTGGTACTAATAATCTCCCTAATTTTATCACCATCGGCAAGTTACAGACAATATAAGCTAAATTCTAATTTCTTAGCAAGTTAATCGAATGCAGCTCACGTCCTAAGTTTTGGACAGGCATATTTTATTCCAGAAATTTCTATTTATCTTCCAGAGCGTACTTTAAAACTAATCACATTCACATTAATTGATATATAAAAATTAGAGTTTGTGTCTCTGACGCTACTCCAAATGATATAATGATATTATAAAATATAATTGATTACACAACATCCCCGTGAGTATAATATATCATTAGATATCGATGATGAGAATGCCCAAAATATCCAAAGACCACAAAAAAAAAAAAAAATCAGTTCACATTCCTACGTTAATTGAATGTCTGACATTTGTAGGCTTAGATGGAGAGAGTTGACTTTGTAAAATCTTACGTGGTTTCTCTATCTTTTTGGTCCCACCGTTTCTTCGCTTAGAAGCAAAACGGCGAAAGTGTTTTTTTTTCGACGTAGTTAACTTTTATTTCCTATCCTTCTCAGTTTGTCTTCTCACGAAGTCCACCTCCATTTTTCCCTGTTATTTACTTTCTCTGCGCTGCTCTGTTCTGTTATGCTCTGCGAGAGCTCACTGAAGAAAGGGCAAAAAGTAGTGCTTTTAGACGCACAGAAACCCGCAAAGAAATCATGGGCGGCGATGTGACATCTTCTTCCGGTACCGTCTCTCCTAAATCATCATTCTCTTCTTGTTTCTTATTACCAAAATTTCAAAAGTTTGTCACTGATTCATCCCTATAATACCGAATTTTAGGAGAAGACTCGTCGTTGGACCAGGATTTCTCCCAACTGTCTTCTCCCCTTCTCAGGTACTTTTTATTTTTTATTTTCGAAATAGTCTTTTTTTTTTTTTGGGTGTGAAAATTCGACATAAGTATGGTTTTCTGGCTCAGGGATGGTTTGAACATGAAGGTTGATAATTGTACAGTGGACGAAAGAGGCGAATTGCTCTATCAACAGTTTGACAAAGCAAGTCATCAAAATTCCTCAGTTTCTTTGGAGTTTGAAACTAATCAGAGGAGGAGAGACCGTGTTTATCGAGAAATCTTGCGGAGTTTTGATGAATTGAGGATTCGCAGTCGGAGATTGGAAGAGGCAAATAGCAAAATCTTGAGGTTTTTATGTTCTGTAATTCATATTTTTACTAATAAGTATTTCCTTTGTTCTTGTGATCATTTTGGGAAAAGAAATCACCACTTTGTCAACTTTTTTTTGCCCATTCACTTGGGTACCCGTTTAGTTATTCGAGTTTTTAATTTAAATTGAGATGTGATGAGAATTTTTTACTATAGTAATAAAATAAGTTAGATGTGACTATTTTTAAGAGTTTTTTATTGTAACAAAACTCGAATTTTAAACTCGAATAGTAAAATGAACAGGGCCTTTGTCTAATCCCACGTTTGGTATTGTTTTTGAATTTGAATTTTAGCATGATAACAATGACTATGAAGATTTGTAACTTTGAGCTCTGAGTATTCCTTGAAATATTTGCTCCTAGAACTCACGAGACTATGAAAATTTCACAGCTACACTCCGGGAGCTTGGATTGAAAAGGTTGGTGGCATGAAATTGAGTGACTATGATGTGCCAAAAACGACATCTCTTCTATTGATTGGTCCAAAAGGATCCGGGAAAAGTAGTCTTGTAAATAGAATTTCAAGGGTGTTTGAGAATGACAAGTTTGCATCTGAAAGAGCCCAAGTAACATGTATGTTATCTTAACACTTGCATATTTAAATGCAGTGAGGAATTATTATTGTTTTTGGTTCTTATTATGACACAGCGTTAGATAATAAAACCTTTTTGTTTTCCGTGTGCCAGATAATTCATCTCTTGGAGATGGAACCTTCTTCCTTCAAGAGTACATGATCCCAAGAGGCTCAACGTCTTTTTGTCTCTATGACACTCGTAGTCTATCCGAGGATTCAGATGATAATATTAAGATGCTAAAGCATTGGATGACTAGGGGTGTTCGTCACGGGGAGCTTGTTGAAAGGTCTAGACATCGAATCCAATAATTCCTTTTCATTTGAGGTCATGATTTTGTCTATTTTCCGGGGAAAAAAAATTATTTTGTTTGTGTGAGTTGCTTATCAGGGATTCAGATGGTGTGAGTTTAAGGACCAGAATGAAGTGCAAAGCTCTCAAGAATGGCTGTGTGTCCAGTGAGATCAGAAAGGTTCATTTTGTTATATTCGTCGTTAATGGGGTTACCGTTTTGAAATCAATGGACAATGATAAAGATGCAGATGGACAATACACCAAACTGATTGCTTCCGCATTCAACTGCCCGTACGTCTCATTCCGAGGTATTGGCAATTTGCTATGCTATTTTCTATATTTTCTGGCCATCACTGGATAAGAGGTGTAAGGCCCTCTAATATTCAAGTTTGCATATTAAGAATCCATTTAAAGAGCTCTTTTCTGACCTAGGTGAAAACCAAAATGAAAGAATAGCAGTGATTTTTTTTTTTTTTTTTTTTTTTTTTTTTTTTTTTTTTTAAGGGAAAAACAAAAAAAAAAAAAAATAGTGTTTTTTTTTTTTTTTTTTTTTTTTTTTTTTTTTTTTTTTCGGATGCTTCCAATTGCTCTGGAGTCCGTCCAAAAATCCAATTTAAGTTTCTGTTTGTTTCTTTTGACAGATGACAAGCCCATTATTGTTGTTACTCATGGTGATCAACTTTCATGCTCTGATCGTGCTCGTATTCGCATTCATCTGGGAGAGCAACTGGGTATCCCACCAACAAAACAGATATTTGATATCCCAGGTGTCCCTCAGTTTATTGATTACTTCCCCCTGCTACCCATTATGGTTACATTTTTGTAGTGTCTTAACCATATCTCTTCACTAACAGAAATCCTTGACCCTGAAACTGAGCTGACGATAGTTGATATGTTACGCTATTCGCTTGAGCATGCTGACAAAAATCTCCCTCCAAAGCGATTGTTTATGAATAAGATGAACAAGGTTCGTTCCTTTTTATAAGATTTAAGATTTACCCGTTACATGTGATATGTTTGGCGCTATGAATTTCATAAGTTAAAAAACTAGTTATATGCAACTTAGTGGTGGCACACAATCTAATAATTCCGTGCCTTGCCACATATGTTCATTTCATTTCATGCGATAGAAACTTCACATGATTTAGTGTTGAATAAATTTGCAATACGGATTTGCCAGTTGTCTGTTCTGTATCTATAATAATTTAAAGCTTCTATTGAAGTAGCAAGTGTACTGACTCTGGTGAGGTACATGCTGATGCAGGTTCTTTCTCCTCCTGTATCATCAATTTTACTCGTGGTAATGGTACTTGGAATTGGTATCATTTTGGCAAGTGTACTTCGTGTGCATATTCACCATGGTCCTGGGCCTCGAGCAAAATTTCGCGGAGTTTGGGCAAACGCAAAACCGGACATTGAATGGCATAAGATTCGTCACTTGTGGCTAGGCTAAGGTTGTCAACTTTTACGTCTCACAAGTAGAGTGTCTTTCAATCTTACACTCAACTGAATGAATCTGGTTTGTGTGCATGCGCGCGCGCTTGTGCATTGGTTCTGTTCTGTATATGCTTGTGCAGTTGACTGTTTCATAGTTCATACAAGTATTTGTAATTTAGCATACCGAGCAAGTCCGCTTCTATGACCAAAAAATAACTTCCTCCAACTGAAAATGACACTGAATAGTTGCTTTCTTTAGTCACCCCCCCGCGGTTTTTTTTTTTCAAAGAACTTAGAATCCTGCACAAAGATTGGAACGGTATATAATATATGCAAAACTATATATCCAAATATTGAATGAGAAGTGAAACATACACAGGGTGATACCAGATGCTATATAAGAACTCATATTGTTATTTCCAATAAAACAAACGGGGTACAAAGTGTGTGAATGTTTCGTATATTGGTCTGGTAGGTACAAGAACGACGACGTGCGTCATGGAAGAGAACTGGGATGCACTAGCAGTATATAAAAAAGCAATATCCTAAGCAAAGACATGCGTCAGGATTTTCCGAGGTTTATGCTACAGATGGAAACCAATTAATAAGCATCAAAATTTAGGTAAAATGATAGAGAACCAAAATTTAGGATCCTCAGCTTTCTAAACAGAGCAATTGCCAAACGATCTTCATGCCATCCTTGAAAAGATAATCCCAAGGCTAAGAGTATATGATTGAGGCTAGGCCAATCACTCTTCACAAGCTGTAGGTCTTGGTAAGTTCTGCAAAAACATAGCCCTCGCAACAGAGTCAGTAGCATATCGCCCCAATACAGCAATTGTCGCTGTACTACTTCCAACCTTCTCAATCCCTCTAGAGATCATACATGTGTGGTCAGCCTCCACAACCACGATAACATCTCCGCCTAAAAACGATGTTACAGTCTCCGCTATCTGCCGAGTGATTCTTTCTTGTACTTGCAGCTTGAAACCATAGAAATGTACCACCGACTGCAAAAGGGACTTCCCGATGGGATCGAGACCTTCTGCACCCATATATCCTATGTGCACAACGCCATGGAAAGGAAGTAAATGATGCTCGCACTGAGACCAGAATGGCAATTCCAGCTCGGACTGTATTTGTTTTTCCTTGCCACTTGCTTCCTTGTCAGTCTCAACAGCATTCACCCGGCTAAAAGCAAATCCATTCAGCTTCCTCTCCAAATTTGTATTTTGGAAGTTCATCAACCACTTAACAAAACGGGCAGGAGTTCCTAAAAGCTCCTTCCTTAACGGGTCTTCACCTAGTGACCTAAGAATTGAAGTTACTCCTGTGACCATTGCCTGATTGACAGGCTCAATCTTGGAGGATGTTTTGGCACAAGAATAAGACTGGGAAGGGCACCAAGACTGTTCATTTGAGTGCCTCGTGGAAGTTCTATCCACATTTGTTCCTCTGCATTTGAGAAGGCTCAGAAAGTCAGTCCAAGATTCGGCATTTTCGTTTTCAAAAACTCCTGAACCTGAGCAAACCAGTGACTTCAGCCATCCTTTGTGGTTTGGTTTTAGAAAGACTGACTCTAGGTTTGGAAAATGGATATGCAGACACTGAAGCAAGACAGCAACGCCTGCGGGCTTGATGCCATGATGCAGAGCCATACACACTTCATCTGCAAGACGCTTCGGTTCTTGAAGACGTTTCGCAAACACATCCGCTACCCGAGAAAGCTTGCTTAATCCCAAAACCCGTTGACCTGAGGGGACATAACCCACATGACACTTGACCTGAAATGGGAGCAAACATGACTCACAGTATGAGAAGAGATCAAGTTCTCTAACAACCACAAGCCCACCAGAACCTCCTGCTTGACCAACTGCATTGTCCAAACCAGCTTCAGGGAATAAAGCACCTTGAACAATGTCCTTCACCCTTTGTTTGTAACCTGGACAAAGAGTAATAAGAATAATCTCAATACTCTACATATCAAGAGAACTATGTCAATGCCGATTTAGAATATACCAATAAAGATACCAAATCATTTACGATTCTTTGACATCATTCATCCTATAAAAGTTTAGGCCACTATATAAACATGTTTGAAACCTGTGTTTCTTGATTTGCAGATTGCAGATTTTGCTCAATTTTATGAGTTGAGGAAGTTTTCATAAACGACTAGGAGCTTCCTCTACATACTAATTTGGAGCACAATTGATCAGTCCACCCACATAAACCCAGAAGAAATCATTGAGGGCAAAAACAACCAAAATGTAACTATTTCAGGGCCCAGAAGCAAGTTTTTAATAAAATTGTATTAACAAAAGGAAGGTGTTCAAAAGCTTTAATACTAGCTATTGAACAGAAATAAAACAGTTCCTTTTTTCTCTTTCTTTAAAAAAAAAAAAAAAAAAAAAGAACAGATCCCATCTTTTCATTTCCATTTCCTTAGAAAATGATTGCCTGTGACTCTGTACTGATATATCAAAGCCAGCATATGAAACAAAAACAATAATCTGATTAATAAAGAATGAGAGATCAATTATAAAAAAGGCTTAGCTAAAGAAGGTTTTAAGGAACAAATACCTCTGGTTCCTTCTCTAAGGGCCTTGGCAACGCGAAGAGGAGTCTTTACGAGACCTTCTCTGTTAACATCTTCTCCCAAACCATGAAGCAAAACTTTCACGGCATCTTCAATAGCTATCGTCTCCGGCTCTTCCTCAAATCCCAGTTCAGGACAACCCAGTCCAACTCCATTTTCAAGCTCAGCACAGAAATGTCCCTCATCCAAAGCGCCCATTGATAGAGAACAAGAACACACCAAAGAACACCAACCCAGAAACCAAATCAAATCAAAGCAAAACAAAAAAACCTTTAAAGGACTAAAACCCAGATACAAGTCCAGACAAAGCGCCACCAAAACTAGATCCTGAAAATAACCCGAAACCAGATTGGAGATTGGACCTTATAACAAAAACAACAAAAAAAGACCCAGAAATGAAGAATCTGAGTCACGAAGACGAATAGTAATATTACATCAATTGAAATTAAACTAGAAAGAAAGGGTTGAAAGCAAACACAGAAAATATTAAGAAAATGGTGCGCCTATAAAGAACTTGATTATCGAATGGTCAGAAAGAGGAGAGGAGAGGCTGAGAAAAGAGAGGCTGAGGAGATGCGAAAACCAAACGTAGGGTTGGGTTGGCGCTAGATCTTGAAATTTACTATAGTTTTTTTTTTTTTTTCTTCTTCTTCTTTTGGTATCTATCTCTTAGAATCGTGGAATGTGGGACCCATTTCCACGAAGGCCGTCAGAGTTTCTTTTGTTCCTTACCAGAGGATCTGGGTTCTTCTGTTTTTTATTTTTTTTTCGGGTCGTCTATCTATATAATCCTTTTTCTTCCTCTTCTTCCGTATGTAATATAAAAACACAAACAACATCAACAAAAAGCGGTGGTCTGAGGCTGCCGATGGGGATTTGGGAGCGGATCAGATCAGGGTTAGAGTAGTACGCCCGGAAGAGATCTGGACGTTGGACGACTGAGATATCATATCACCCCTAAAGGGTGGGACTGGGACCCAATCAAACAATCTAACAAGTAACAAGTTGCAATATGACGGCCGACCCCACTTATGTCTTCCATACCCGCCTCCATACCTACTCAAGACAGATTCAGGCTCGGAAACTTTCATCGGAACTATTCTTATACTCTACTTATTTATCTTTATTTAAATTTTTTTATAATATTAATAAGACTTAAGAAAATTTTATGAAATTAATTAAAAATTTTGACGATGTCACTATTAGCATCTGATGAAAATAAATTGAAATTTTAAAATCAAATCTAAATATTAACAATAACAAACAAAAGTCTCGAAACTAAATGCGGAGTCAAACAATACAAAACTAAATTCTTAAATTTCAATCTAAAATACAAAAATAATTTAATCTAAAACACAGTAAAAAATAAAAAATAAAAATAAAAAAATAAAATTGCACACTAAGAACATTGCTATTCCTTTTTTATTTCCTTTATGTCACCTTCATCGTAAATTAAGGTATATGTAATGTAACCGAGTTAGGTTTGAGACAAGGGAGGTCTTGCCTCTGAATTGGGTCCTAATTCTTAACCCCATATGCCCATCCCACCAACCCCTATATTATATGACCGTATCTACTTTCAGTGTGTTCGGTAAGATAGAAAGGAGAGTGGAAATAAAATAGATAAATGATTTTATAGAGGAAAATATAATTTTAGTTTGTTTGGTAGAGAGAAAATGAGAAATTAAAGAAAATAAAAATTTATAGGGCGCATTAATTTTTAATCCTTTTAATTTTGGAAAGAAAAGATAAGAGAAAAAATTTGATAAAAAAATGAGATGTAAAATAATAATTTTAACATTCATTATTTATCATATTTTTATTTATATTAAGGTATTATTTTAAAATGCATTAAATTTAATATTTTTTTTCTACTTTTCTTTCTCTTTTAAAAAAAACTAGTTTACTTTCTTCACCTAAATATTTTACTTCTCTTTTCTTTCTTTTTTCTACTCATCCTACTAAATATTGGACGGGTACGCACAGGTATTCGCATTTACGGGGTAAGAAAATCATCCTAATTCATATTAAAAAATAATATATATATATAATACACACACACACACACATATATATATATATATATTTATATATAAAGGAGTAGGGGAGAGTGTAGCATCACACCAACCCACAAAAACGGTGCATTTGCGACCCCACCACATATCCCGGATCTAATTAGTTCCCTCCGAGATTTGGTTCCATATACTATGTACTATTTTTTTTAGGCGCCTCTCGTACTAGTTTTTTAGGCTAAGAATTGACGCTAGGTACCAATGTAATAAAGTATTAAACCATAATTCTCAACAACAAAAAAAAAAGTATTTAACTATAGGACCGGAATGATAATTGCTAATTGGTTAGTTTCAAATCAAAACAAAGATCGCTGGTATATGATTTGGATGCTACTGGAATATTATTTTGACGAAAAAAAGCATATTAGATGATAGCAACAGTGTAACGATATTAATTTAATAGTTATAATAAATTAAATAATAATAAAAAAATTATAATAATTAATAAAATTATATTCTTATCATATTATGTCATTAAATTTTTATATTTAATGAGTAATCACAATAAAAAATAACCATTAAAATTTCATCCATATATATTTATATATTTTCTAGTTTGGTGTGTGAGAGTAGGAAAGCAGCAAAGTAGCAATTGATTTTCTACGCCAAGTTGCATAAAGTGAACCAAATCTCCATTACTCGCATTAGTCAACTAAATTAATTGGTTTGGTGAGCACCAACCTCGTTGTTTGTCTCACGCAAGCATGTTTTCCTTGTAACTTACTTGTTAGCTCCTTTTCCAGCCAAAGAAGAAAAAGAAAAAATAAAAATAGTATGCCTTCTCAAGTCCGAAAGTTGTTGGGTTGGTGAATTTAAACATGGTTCAACGATTTAAATTATTAATTTAATTCGATTTATGATAATTTGAATTGTGCTGATTTTAATTGTGATTCGAACCGGTATTTAGATACGTAAATAAATTATAATTTGAATTGAAAATAAAATTTAAATTATATTTAAATAAAGTTTTAAATAATATCATTAGAGTTTTGTAACAAATCTTATAAAACCTCATTATAAATAGCATGAAAAAAAATACAATACATATCAATCAAAATTAAAACGAATAAATTATGACATTTTTAAGCTTGAAATTAAAGAAAAAAATGAGTTGTTTTCACTGTAGTACAACCATTCAAATGGTTGAATTGGTGGGGAGATTTGATTTGGAACTAGAGGTCCGAATGATTGAAATGAACATGGCATTATTTCCCAGCCAGAGATTGTGTAAAACTGTAAATAGTCATACTTTTATATATATATATATATATATAGAGAGAGAGAGAGAGAGAGAGAGAGAGAGAGAGACATAATTACCTTTCGATGGCATGAGTTAGAATAAGATAAGTCATGACTTTGAAAAGCGTACAACGGCACAACTCACAAGCCTTCATAGGGCTGAGTTTTTTTTTTTCCTTTCAGTTCATTCTGGCATCCCCTCAAATGGACTAATCATAAGTTTCTAAATCAAATGTTTACGCGTTTTGCAGCCAATTGGACATTTAACGACGAGTATAATACACAGACCTCTCTTTAATCTGTATTCACAAGTGAAAACATAGATTTTATTTCTTTTTTTTAAGAGAAATTGCATTTCAAAACAAAGAAATACAACTGCTAATTCAGGGATAAACGACCTAAATACATCTACGGATACAAATTAAACGACCCTAAAACAGAAGGAGTTGTTGATGGTTGAATTTCGCCAACAGAATTATGCCGGGTTATCTCTTGGTATCCTATTGGGTTACCGGCCTGAAATCGTTATAAATTTAGGGTAATACTCTTAAAGTGCTTTTTGTAGTGTGGTAATTTAAGAAGTGTGAAAGTGGTGCTTGAATGAATGCAAAAGGCACACAAGTTTTGTAGTGGTTCACTCTATTAATGAAGAGTTACATCCACTGTGTATTGCATATATCTTTTGCTACCTTAATTACATCGGAAAGGTCCCCCTGATCCTTTGGGGCTTTGCCCCTTTTATAGCCCAAAGATTACTTCTTGGGCGGTTCTTCTTTGTAGGCCTATCCACTCGAGTGGCCTACTACCCTATGGACCCATACCATAGCCTGTCAATACCTTTTGTACTATTCACTCATTCAATTTGTCCCCTATTACGGCTCTGTAGATCCTCTAATCCTCAACCGTCCATTTCGGGCAGTTTTAGGGGCTCATAATTAACCCCTGCGCTTCTGACATCTTTTGAACCCAGACACAACCTGCCTATGTCAGGGATCTTTTTTGAGGCACTCCGTAACCCGTATTCTGCCATCGACGCCTATACTATTAAACAAGGCGTAGTCTCGTTCGGCTGACTCTATTTGTGGCACTTCCAATGCGCAAGTTATACAGGCCTCGACGGTTTCAAATGGCCAGCGGTCTAAGGATTCGTCCATACGCTCGGCCTTTCCAACATCCATAAGGAGAACAAGATCCATACGTCGATTGCTATCTGACGTGACAAACACAGGGCCACGTGGAGCGCTATTGCCGTCCAACGTGTTAGTGCACATTTTTCCACATAACAGCTACCCCCCAGGTTAAGGCTTTCCTTTAGACAGCCTCGAGCTTGGTCGGGATTTGTACTGACGCTTCGTTTGCCTCGGGTGTGGGAACCTAACTTCGATCCTCCTTTGTAATGATGGTTTTGTCATCTCTAAAATCCCTCGAGAAGCGCAAACGTAGCATCACCTCAATTATTATGCTGACGCGAGCTTTTGTTTTAAACGAACGAATCTAGGCCATTGGATCATGCCTTCTCGTCTTCCTGCCTTTGTCACTACCATTTGATTTTGACCGATTGCCCCCACCGTTGGATTTACTAGGATTCTATCCAACAGCCAGGGGTCGATGGTTCATGAGTTTTTAAAAGCGCCTCAAATTGAGGCCATTTCTACCCAAACTCCTGAGAACTGTTGTTACTCTGTCCAAATTTTCCCTGAATCCTCCATACCATATTTCTCTCACGAAGTTCCAATTTTCGCCTTTCCTCAAGTTTCTGGTAAGTCCCCTTTTATGGTATAACTGCATCCTTGTGTAGTTTGTGCCCTCTTACTTGATTTCTATCGAATCATTACGTACTTTGGACTTGAAATAGATACCGAGGAGATTAGAGACTTACTTTGCACTTTTCTAGGCTCATATAAGATAGTTTTTGTGGTTCTTGGTTGACTGTAAAGAGTTTTGGAATTCTGGATTTTGGAAAAGTGGCTGGTGAATCTTGGTTTGTTATGAGCACTCGACGTTCTTCTTATATGAATAGTCGACGGCTCTCTGAGCCATCGGCGTTCAAATACCTTGAACAGTCGTCACTTGAACAACCATCGCTTGTCTTTTTCACCCTAGACTTAGGACTTTGACTCAACTCTTCACATTATCCTTCTTTTCTTCTCTTTTTCTATATATGCCAGAATAATGGCCCCAAAACTGTGTAACCGCCAAGAGGGTCCTTTATTTGTTGTAAGGCCAGACTCTCCTTCCGTTGTCGAAGCCTCGTGGACATCTTCTTCAACAGACGATGACTCCCTTTTTAGGGAGGTCGAGGATTACGCGCTAGGAGCGAGGGAAGTCAACAGTGTTGATATTCTAGTCGATGGTAATGACAACGGCGAAGGTTCCTTGGCAGGGGGAGAAATTGGTGGATTTGCCGCCTCCGTCGTGGACGCCCCATTGGCGGTCATGAGTGGAGACCTTAACAGGCATTTCTTTACTGCCGACGTTACAATGCCGAAGACCCGGAATAGACACGTCGTTCAGGCAAAGATGGGTGTGTAGACGGGAGATGGTTTGATTACCTTCTCCCGGATACAAAATTTAGGTCCAGCCTTCCTCCCTCTGGGTTTCTTCCAGTGTATACCCGGGCTCTTACTACAGGGATGACTTTACTAATTCCTCCCTTTGTGAAGGATTTCTGCCATCACCATGGTATCTTATTTGCTCAACTAATGCCGAAGTTTTGGTACTGTTTTGTTAGCGCCTGGGTTTTGTGGAGTTAGCAGTTT